CACCAGGAGAAGATTTTACATACTGATCACTAGTGAACTGCATCAACTTAATTTGTTTTACTAGGCTTTACAATCACAAGTTGAAAAATGCATCTTCTGATGAAAACTTTTGTCTTATTACTTACCTTTCATTGTGTTTTTTTCCTTTTTGATATATTTCTTGGATGAAGAAGTTGTCTTCTCATCAATTATCCTTTCCCCCCTCAAGTAACATGTTTCTTAGATAGTAATCCATACCTGTTCTTAACAGGGGAGTGTAGCTGGTTGTCCAAGAGAACCATGGCATGACTTGCACTCTAAAATTGATGGTCCAGCAGCATATGATGTTCTCACAAACTTTGAGGAACGCTGGTTGAAGGCTTCAAAGCCTCATGGCATTAGAAAGTTGAAGACGTCTTTTGATGATGATTTGCTTCAAATTGGAAGAATGCCTGAAATTGTCGGTATTTCTGATGCTCCATCTGTGAGTAGTGATGACCCTAACGGTTGGCATGTACAGGTTGAGTGATTAACTTAATATCAACAGCTTAGAAGTTTAATTTGTGTGTTGTCTTTGATCTTAGAGTCATATATTCTTTTTTCAATCATTAAGCAGATATTTCGTTCAATTGACTCGAACTCGGTCAAAGGCTTTCCAAAGGATCCTAAAGAAGCTACAATGAAGGTGAGAAAGATAGATGGAAGGATTGTTTGCGTGCCCCAAAACATATACTCCTTCTATCCCAATTTATGAGATGCATTTTCTTTTTTAGTCTATCCGAAAAAATGATACCATTCTATATTAGAAACAATTTAACTTGAAACTTCCATTTTTCCCTTAATGAGGTAATTTGTACCCACACAAATATTTATGGCTTGTTTTAGACCACAAGTTCCAAAAGTATTTCTTTCTTAAACTCGGTGCATAGTCAAAGTGCATCACATAAGATGGGACGGAGGGAGTACTTATTTACTAATTTAAAGTAAACTCGTTTTTTCCCATCTTTTTTTGCAGAACTTGGTGTGTGGTAAAAATGTACTTATTGACATGAGCATACACACAGCATATGTGAAGGCTATTCGTGCTGCACAACACTTCATTTACATCGAAAATCAATATTTCATTGGTTCTTCATACAACTGGACTCAACATAAAGATGTTGGTGAGAAGCTGTTTTTATGCTGTGTATAAATATTTGCCAATTTCTGAATACATCGAAAAATCAAATCCATTATTGTCATTTGCTACTTACTATAGAAAAGCCGTCGGAGTAGATTTAAAAATTTATTATTCATGCTCAGTGGAGGCAAAAACATTAGGTGAATTCTTCTCATATGTTCCAACCCTTGGTTGGCAAAGTTTGTCGGTGCCTGTGCTGGTGGGAAGTAGGCACCCGATAGAATAGTTGAGCTATGCTCAAGCTGGCATGGACACCACCGTCATCATGAAAAGATAAAAAATACTATTCGTGGCCTATTTGCATCTCTGAGTAGTAGATACTCCTACTTTGTCACAATAACTTTCTGGTACCTTTACATCCTTGCTACCCACTAATGGATCCAATGTCAAGCTCATTCCTGAGTTTCAAGTCCAATCAACTGCATATGCAGAGGATTCTTTGGGAGGACAGCTCACTATGTGGGAGACAGTGGGTCTTTGGCACACTGCAAGGATAGTGAAGGAACTAGCTGGAGATATAAGAGTTTTGGCAACAAATAATGGCTGGGTTCGTGCATAGGTTCTGCAAGTTTTTGTCTGTTTTTTTAAAAACTGGTAACCTTACTCTATATATCCACAGGTATACTACAACCAAAAGTGAGTTACCCTTCAAAAGTATTACAATCTATCAAAGCTCAAAACTATATCTGTTGCCTACAAACAATCTAGAACATCAAAGATGTCTTCTGTTTGAGTTAATAAACTATGTTTACACCAAAAGTAAAATAGAACTAAACACTTCAGAAGTTTTTGTCTGATGTTGCAGGCACACAAGTATGGATAGTAAATTCTGATGCGTCTAACTGTTTGTATTTGCTAGTTCTCTCTTTTTGGTAGTTGATTTAGATCCACTAAAGATTACTTGTGGAGACACCTGCATGAATCACGTAAATAACTTATGTCCTTGGGTTTTGACATAACCAGCTTTAGGTTATGGCTAATATATCATCTTCTTCCTAATCCTTTTGTATGCTTGTCTTCTTTATTATGTTGGGCTTGGAAGGGTTGGAAATGAATTTTTTTTTCTTATAATTGCGAGATTAGATCTGATAGATTAACATGTTAAATAGAATTTCAGGCTTCCCCTTATCTAACTGAAAGTCACACATAAGGATATAACTTAGCATTTGAGACTTAAACCAAAGCATTTGCGGGGTGTGCATTGGGTGATGCCACAAAATATTGGAGGTGTCGTGTAATGCTGGCAGACTCAAAAAATGAATAGAAGATGGAAACAGATATGCAAAACGACTATTTGGTCAGAGAGGAATAAGAGATGCTTTGAAGATCAAAAACATAATCTTTCCCCCTAAAGAATATAGATGCCTACAGATTCCATACTTTTGGTGTAGGAGTTATAAGATAGATAGTATGTCTCATTATTTTGATTTTCTTGACTTTGAGGGAGTGTAATTGTAACAAGCAATGTTGTAACTCCTTTTTGGAGAACCTCCTTGGTACTCTATTAGGGAAATTTATCTTTCCTATTGTTATTTTAGCAATACACCTAGACCCAAGAGGGGGTAAATTGTGTCTTGCCCAATTTTCGCGAGTTAAACGTAAGTAAACTAGATACAAACAGAACGTGAAGTGCGGAAATTAAAGTGCACAAGTAGTTCTATGTGGAGAACTCCTTACTCAAGGGAGTAATGAAACACGACCTACACTTGTAGGATTTACCTCAAAACATCATTGTCTTCAGGAGCAGTTTTAGGTTACAATTCTATAATCAAAGGGACTATAAACTCTAGTACCTTTTTTTTTGAACTGGTAACTTTTTGTATTCCTCAGCATTAAGGTATGTTGGCCACCTCCAAAAGATGATTACAAGAAAAGAAAAATACAAAAATACTTACAAAGATCCTATGAAGTCCACTAATTGGATCTCATCATCTATATCCTGTTCTTTACACCAAAAGCCTAGAGTAGTAATTACTTTCCATTTGATCTTTTGTATTGTACACTCCTTTCCTTAAAAAATTCTTTGATTCCTTTCCTTCCATATAGTCCATCAAATACATGCTGGAACTGTTCTTCACCATCTTTTTTGACATCTACTGCCTCCCCTTTTGATCCAACAACTTAGGAGGTCAGAAGTGTGTTCTGGCATTCCAGTATTCATTGACTATGTTAGTAAACAGAGCCCACACCTGAGCAGTAACCTTACAGTGCATGAATAGGTGCTTGTTAGACTCCAGAGCCTCTTCACAAAGGAGGCATCTAGATCCTAAGTTGATGCCTCTCTTCCTGCACTTCCTCTAAGTCCCCAATTGTATAGTCTGTTCACAGAAAACATCCCATCATTGTGATGTCTCCATGCTAATTTGTTTGGCTCTAGAGTAGTACCATGAAATCCACCGATCAAAGCTCAAGAACTCCACCACTTTATCAATCTCCCAGTCAGTAATCAACCTTCTGAATACTAGGTTCCAACCTTGTGGAAACCACATCTCCTCTAATCTGCCATCAGGGTTTGTGCATATTGGGAAAAGACCAGGGAACAGGTCCCTTAGAATCCCATTGCCACACCCGTCATCTGTCCAGAACTTAGTTTTATCTCCTCTCCCCACAATAATCTTTGAGCTGCTTTTGAGAGCCATCCACAAGTTCCTGATGGTCCCCTACAATCAACCCAATTGTAGCAATCCATTTCAATACTATACTCCTAGTCTACTCTAGGAACCAAATGAACTTCACAATTAATCATCTACAATAATACTTCTGAAAAGCAAAATAGGTTACAATTTAGAACCAAACACTCAAGCGTAACCAACTCAAGAACTAAACAACTTATTCTTCTGGAACAGGTTCTTTTGTTGAGTAGCTTGAATCAACACCTTTTTGCAATGACTGCTATTTATCATGAGTAATAATTGTATTTGTGCGAAATAGAACTAGCCTCCAACAACCACAATATGGTGCTTTATATAGGAGTGAGGTTGGTCGAATTCTCTTACACTTTATTCTCCAAAACCAAAAGTATTTTGGTTAAGGAATCCAATCCTACTTGGACTTGGTTGCCTCATTTGCTTTGACCTCCACATGTTTTATCCTATTTCTTAATTTCTTTCCTTTTGTGCAAATGTATCAATATTTTCTTGTTTTTCACAAATTCCTTGATGCAACGTGTGTAGCCCATGAACCGAATTCTTCAAGAATCCAACTTGCAATAGGAATCAGCGTTGCAGCTTCTGATCAGCAATCTTCTAAAAACTTTGTTCTTACGATATCTACGTAGCATTCCTGGAATCCAGTTAACAACATAACCAATAACCCACTCCAAGAGACCTGGTTCTGTTGTAGTTGTTTGTTTATTTATCAAAACCAATTTAAGCTCCGCTCAACATATATATAAGGATATTACTTACCCCCTCTAACACACTTTCCTTTTTAGTCAGCTCTTAAAAGAATGATACATTTCCTAATTTGACACATATTTAATGGCACTATCAACATTTTACCCATATTGGGTCCCACTTATTTGGCAAAAATTCCAAAAAAGATGTACTCTTCTATTTAAAAAATCATTTATTTTAAGGGTAGTTTTGGAATATCGCTAAGTCTTTCCATATTTCTTAAACTCCATATCTAGTCAAACAACACCACATAAATTGGTACGAGGGGAGTAGCATTTTGAGCGTAATCCTAAACGACAGGGAAGTGAATATTTTCTGGAGAGATAACTCAGAAGCTATTTCAGTAATGAAAACAGGGTAAGAGGCATATTGGGTTAATAATTTTTGTTTTGATTCATGAAAATCAATTACTAGATATTATTTTTGTGTTTATTCATGATCTATGATGCATTTTTAAAAAAATCTGTAATTGTGGATCCTTTTATTTACCGATTTGTTTTTTTTTCCAGATTATCAACGATCGCGAAACAGGTAGATCAAGAGGATTTGGTTTTGTTACCTTTACTGATGAGAAATCCATGAGGAACGCAATTGAAGCAATGAATGGCCAGAACCTTGATGGTCGTAACATCACTGTTAATGAAGCTCAATCACGCGGAAGCGGCGGCGGCGGCGGTGGTTTCGGAGGTGGCCGACGGGGTGGTGGTGGTGGTGGTTTCGGAGGTGGTGGCGGATACAATGGCGGGGGGGGGGGGGGGGGGGGGCGGGGGGGGGGGGGGGGTTGTTGCAGTGCCAGGAGGATAAGAGGCCTTGCATCATATGAACTAAGCGTGGTGTTTAAGTGGAGAAGCGCGGAGAGGCAGGCCCATTGTCCCCGAGTTTCGAAGGTTGCGGTTGGTCCTAAGAGTAGGACCCAGACGGATTTGTTGGTCATAAAGAAAAAGTGGTATTCCACTAGTCCAACACTAATGGTGCATCTTTATTTGGCAAAATGAGTCTGCCTTTTAACAGTTTTACATATCTTGGAAAGTATTATAGTTATCTTCTGGTAGTCAGCAATTCTAATATTTGAATTACCTGTGTGCTGCCTGCAGGTGCAAATAATCTGATTCCCATGGAAATTGCACTTAAAATAGCTGAAAAGATAAGAGCGCATGAGAGGTTTGCAGCATACATTGTCCTCCCAATGTGGCCAGAGGGTAATCCAACTGGGGCTGCTACACAGAGAATACTATATTGGCAGGTAAAGCTACTTAAAGTTTAAATTGCTTGAGTTTGATGGTGAGGAATCGTGCCATACTAAGGAAGCTAGCATATGCATTCAGCTTATCGAATAATCAGCTGCTCTCAAATTATTACAAGTTGTGTTGGTGAAACCCCATGTCTCTATGTTGGTTTGCAGAACAAGACAATGCAAATGATGTATGAGACTATTTACAAGGCTTTAGAGGAGGTTGGGCTTGAGAATTCATACTCTCCGGAAGATTATTTGAACTTCTACTGTCTTGGTAACCGTGAGGCTGGTAAAGTTGAGGGAAATGAGAGTCCTAGCGCAGCAAACACTCCTCAGGTACTTGCAATGACCTCCATTATCCTAAATAAAGAATCTGAAAAATTATATTTATGTCTTAGACAGTTAGTCCACTTACCTATTTGTTGAAGTTTCTCTTTATTTTAATTTTATTATAATTCTCTTTTCTTTTTCCTAATTGGCCATTGCAAGATGTTTTTTTTTTTGAAGTTACTAGCTCTCTGGCAGGTTTCCTCCTAAAACTGTGCCCTCGACCTGTCGTGCACTGCATACTATTGATCAGTGTCAGAGTTAATGATTTGAATATGTTGTTGCAGGCGTTCAGCCGAAAATCCCGTAGATTCATGATTTATGTTCATTCTAAAGGCATGATTGTGGATGATGAGTATGTGATATTGGGATCTGCAAACATCAACCAGCGCTCTCTGGAGGGCACTAGAGACACTGAGATCGCAATGGGAGCATATCAACCTCATCATACATGGGCAAGAAAACAGTCAACACCCTATGGACAGGTGATTAGCAAATTCAATATTTGTGCTGAATAATTTGGTTACATTATCATTCCAGGAAAAAATATTACTTAAACATCATATGATACTTTTTTGATGTGCGTGCTAGCTAATATTGTATGTATTCTAGGAAGCTTAAAGACTTTTTTTTTTGTGTGTGTGTGTGTATCTGATCCGTTTACTGTCGCTGGTGCAAATTTATCTTCTGCAGATTCATGGATATAGAATGTCTCTGTGGGCGGAGCATCTTGGAGTTGTTGAGGATTGCTTCAGACAGCCGGAGTCATTAGAATGTGTAAGACGGGTTAGGTCCATGGGTGAATATAACTGGAAGCAATTTGCATCTGATGAAGTAACAGAAATGAGAGGGCACCTCTTAAAATACCCCGTTGAAGTTGATCGCAAAGGCAAGGTGAAGAATCTTACGGGATGTGCAAATTTCCCAGATGTTGGTGGAAACATAATAGGATCATTCCTGGCAATTCAAGAAAATCTTACCATTTGATTTCCCTTTTTTTTTCCTCTCTTTATATCACCCGTTCAGATTTTTGAACCCAGAAAAAACTATACATCCCTGATTGGGGTATCTACAGCAGTTTTTAATCTATTCAATACAGTAAACAGTTAGGCAGAGGAAGATGGTGATCGAGTTGAGTATAGTAGAAGTTGTACAGTTCGTTTTTTTTTATTTTTAGATGATTTTGAGAATCTGTACTAGCTAACTACAATTTGTGAATTTTGGTCATAGATTGAACTATTAATCTGAGGAAATTTTAAAGCAACACTTATCATGGAAGAAGAGTTGTACTGACAGTTGATTAAAGTGATCATTAGCATTAGATTCCAGTGTGGCCAATAATGAACAGTGAATTTGGCGCGATCATTCTAGACTCTCGAAATCTCACTTGTGAAACTATACTGGTATATTGTTGTTGATTCAGCACGATCAACAATGACCGAACGAGTAGGAGGAGGAGGAGACATTGGTAGCAGAAGCAGGAATGAGTGACGCACTTGGAACACCCAAGAAAGTAGCTGCTGGCCTAACACTAACACAATTCACCTGAGCTGCACTTTGCCTTGTTGATGGTATCAATGGTGTTTGCTGAATTAACCAAACCGTTGACGGTGCTGCCATACTCGAGTTTATTCTCGCCGGAACGGAAAACATTGATCCCACTGGCATTATTGTCTGAGGTGGTACTATCGACATCACCGGAGCTAAAATTGTTGCCATATTGTTCGGTAATTTTGCTTCATTTTCCCGAATTGCATGATTATTTCTTTGTTTAACATCGATAAATTTAACGTTACCACAATCACAACGTTTGCGTTTGCCTGTTAAAGTGTCATTATTTTCAGTGGTGGGGATTTTGGTGGTGCCGTTAATTGAGACGGCGGTAACGCCAGTGCCAGTGGCGGAGATGATGGACGGTTCAGCACGTTCTAAGAGCCACTGAATAGTTTCACCGTCGGTTTTGTGACCGAGTTCACGAGTAAGCTGGAAGACTCTGGCGGCGCATGTTGCCGGTATTCTTATCCTCCGCCCTCCTCCGTCTACCTTCGTAGGCCGGTCCGCATCATTTCCACGCGGTGGAAGCTGTGGTGGTGGTGGTACCGACGGTCTCGGTTTTGGGGTGGGTAGTGTGACTTTGATAATGGATGGAGCCGGTGATTTCTCAGCCATGTCATGAGACTCTTGCTTGGGAGATATCAATGGTGGAGCCACCTGTCGCCGCCATGCCGACGGTGGCGCTGCCGTGAAGGACTTAATGTTTTTAGATTCCATTAGAGATATGCAGTGTGTGTTATAGTGATGCGCTGTGGATTGTTTGTGCAGCTTAGCTTATAAATAGAATGAGAACGGAACACCAATAAATGGGATAACTTTTTTTCAAATGGAAATAGCAAAGATGAGTCAAATATTTAACGAACAATATAAATGAGCATTTTTTAAAAGTTTCGTTGACATATTTGAGTTTTTTCCTATAAAGCAAATTAGGCCCTAGTTAATTAGGTGTCATCTCTAGTCTAGTTGATAAGGGGCTAAGAAGTAGAGCAGGGAGTGGGGTTATATAGTAGTAATTATATAGGAGAGTAGAGTGGGGGACTTAATCCCTCTACTAAATGGTCCCAAACTGTACTTGTAGCCCACTTCTAACTTAGCTAAGCCACGCTTAATTAAGTACTTCATATTTATACTATCATTATATTTAATCGATTATAACATGTTCCTTGCTATTTTTTTAATTTGCGTTCAAATTAGCTATGACATGCACCTGTTATTGTACACCACTTTAGCCAAATGATATAAATATCTAACAACAGATTTAAAAGGGTAAAATAGTTATATGAGTATTTGAAAAAAGACACAAATTATATTATCATGCATATTTTGCCCATTTCCGTGTTTGATATTTGTTTTGATGTTTGATTAATATGAATTTTCACTAAAAAGTCATATTTTAGGTGATAAAGCATCATAATCCAGATTCGTGATGAAAAATCTTACTTTGAAATAATTTAATCCGCAAACTAAAACCAAAGGGTTTATTAATCATAGGTGAGGACAAATTTTACGAGCAATAAAATTCAGTTACCTTTTAGATTTAGTTACTTCCTCACATCTTAGAGTCGGTCTTCACGCTCAAAAGTTACTGTCAAAATTTTCAACTATTCACCAAGGATTCCAGTGAAAAAAAGTTCCATTATATTGTTTTATGATTCAAATATAGTATGTTTCACGCATAGCTCTTTTTTTTCACTCTCTAATTTATGAGTAGTTTCCACATCAACTAATTAAAAGATAATTATGGATTACCCCATCTATATTAAATGAAATTAAACTAAAAAATAATGCAAGTTACTAATGCTAGTATAGATATATTCATCAGACTTCCATCTATATAATTTAAACGGAAAAGGGTCAAATATACCCCTGTACTATAAGAAATAGTTTATATATACCATTCGTTATATTTTTGGCCAAATATACCCCTCCTGTTATACTTTGGGCCAAATATACCATTTATCCATTAAATATGTGGATCCCAACCTTAGAATAAACATCTGAAAGGTTGTGATTAATTTTAAAAACCCTGATCATTTTTATCTGGTTAATACCCAAAATACGTAATTACATAAAGGGTTTGAGATTAATTAGAAGGACCCAAATAATTTCTGTCCCTGCCAACAACAAAAATAACCCATAGCCCAACCCCAACAAAGCTTCAAATCTCAACAATGGAGTAATGTAAAAGTTGTTTTCTTCAAATCAGTTTTGATCACTTCAATAACAATAGTTTTCAATACTCGGTTGATTTATAACAACTTTCAATCACAAACTTTAAAAGTTCATCGGCCATAAATTTGAAAGGCAAAAATCCAACAACTTTGCTTTCAACTTCTCCACCTAATGTGCATTCTAATTTTAGCAAATCAATCTAAATCAATGGAGTTTCAAGCACCACCTTAATTGAAATTTCAAAAACTTCACCATTGAACTCAGATGATAAACTCAACAAGAACAGTATAACGCGCAAATTTTTTTTAATGTTCTGTATTTTAGAGAAAAAATGGGAACAGTAGTTATAAAATGAGTCTTCATGTATCAGTTGACAATTTCTTTTTTGATAAACAATTCGTTTTGATTTTGTTTGACTTATAGATGGATTTAGCAAGAAAGCATATTAGTGCATTATTTTGGGTATTAACCGGATAAAAATGATATAATTTTTTAAACTTGATCTCAACCTTTCTCATGTTTATTCTAGGAATAGGACCCACATATTTAACGAATAAAGGGTATATTTGGCCCAAAGTATAACGGAAGGGGTATATTTGGCCCAAAAGTATAACGAATGGTATATTTAAACTATTTCCTATAGTACAAGGGTATATTTAACCCTTTTCCGTAATTTAAATCCTTATTAAATAGACAGCCAACAATAGCATTTAATTGCTGCTCAGGCTGCCTATGTTGCTCTAACTCTTCAAAAATGTCAAATAGTGTGTCAAATTCTCCAAAAGTATATATATTTGGAGAATCCGAAGGAGTACGACATCAAAAAAAGTATATATATTTGGAGAATTCGAAGGAGTACGACATCAAAAGTGAAGAGTCCGCACAACTGATGCAGCATGGAACCTGAATGCACTTTTGGATAAGAACAAAATTATACACCTTTATTAGTTCTAAATTTCAACATGCTACACCTTTTTAAGATTATGATATCAAAATGCTACAACTGAAGAAAAAAAGAGAAGTTTGTTCCCCATTGTCAAATAACAAAGAATGCATAAACACACATTCAGTAGCTTCCCTTCAAGAACCAGACATGTAAGTGTATCTAGTCTGGGCTCCAATAAGGAGTTCAATAAGTTTTTCTGCACATGATCAAGGAAAAAACATTTTTGTCAAGAAGGATAATGTCAATTTTTACATCAACGATGTCAAATGAATCAACTTTTGAAACTTGGTAGGAAAGTGCATTAAAAATACCTGCAAAAAATCCAACTACAGGAACAGGTTCTACAGTCTTTTGAGTGCTTTCAAGTCTTCGCCTGAAATAATTTTAAGGCATTAGCATTTGCTTTGATCCCCATTTGGTTATCTTTTCTGCTGTTTTCTTATATGAAGCAATTAACAAGAAATTAAAGGAAAAGAGTATCTTTACCGGGTGTATTTGGAGAAAAATGGATCTCGCATGAGGTAAAGCACCCACAACAGCTTCCTTCTTTTTAACTGCAGTGTTTGGAGTAAAACATATCATTTAATGAAGAAAGTTATATTGCTGCAATAGATAAACTCAAAAGCTATTGAACAAATCAGTTGGATCTTGAAATGGAATAAAGGGTGTGAAAGCAAGTAAGAATTGGAATGAGAATCCGCAGTTTCCCCAAGACAAAATAAGAAACACAGATTGATAAGTGAAGGATTCCTAGTGGAAAGGGCTCTCCTCCTCAGGTTGGAAGTACGAATCACCAAGGGGGGACTGGGAAAAAGACATGTTTAACCCCCAGGGAGGTGGCGTATTTGCCATATCAAAAACATAAGCTATGCAGCAGATTGGTTCAAGAACTGTGATTTCCAGGACAGTCAAGACAGAGTGAGAGACACCAAATAACACGCTGTTCCATCTACCATTGAAAGAAATGCAGAATGCTTAATATGAGGTTGGGTAACCGGAACAGTACGCGTCTTACTTTTCTTTTTCGAGGGGATAGAGGCCTTCTTTTATTTGGGGTGGGGTGGGGGTTGGGGGGGTATATATACAAAGATTCTGTGCAATGATCTATAATATTTCTTACCTCATCCTTCTCTGATTTAGAAAATTGAAAATGCTGATCTTTCCTGCTGTCTTGGGACATTGTTGTGGCTGATAGCATGCTGTTTCCTATGAGATCCACAGCCACGGAGATGAACCAAGGAAACCATGATTGTGTTCCATACTTCCTTACCAGCAAGACATATATAAGTGGTCTTAGGACAAACATAGTCTCCCCAGTCACAAATAACCCTCCACGAATACCCTTCTCAGATAAGAAGGTTGACAGACTCGGATTTCTGATTATCTTAGCTGTAATAATATAAGGAAGCTAACATATTAGAAAATCATGGTGTCATCATCAAAAGTAGTTTGAATTTATCTGAAACCAGCAATTACCTGGAGGTTCCAAAATTGCTTGCTGCTGTTGAACCCTGCGCAACCAAGTCGGCTCAGAAACCATCCTAGCATTCTGACCAAAGCTACTTAAGGCGGACATTGCCCTACCCTCAAGATTCCACGAGTTCAAACCCTGAGGGTGATTGACACCCAGTCCTTGATTTTGGATAGGCTCCCTTAAGTGCCCCATGTTTCCTTGGGGACTCAAATCATCTGAATGTTCCAAATTCTCAGTCTCCCCACCTTGCAAAAGCATTTTATATCCTGTAGTTCTGAAAGCAGCCAGTCTCACGCACACCCTGGCATCCATTCAAAACAAATTGTTATATTTTAATAAAAAAATATCAAATGTTTAAGTAAATAAGCTGCGTTAAAGTTAAATATATCACTTACTTGGCAGCCTCTGTAAGAGCAATCAAATTCCATTTTTTATCTTCGCCATAGAGCTGCTCAGCTACTACTTCAATTAATGTTTCCAAGTCTCTCAACAAAGTAAGGCATAATGACAAAGGGAGAAACGAAGTCTCTGCAGAACTAGTATGCACCGAAGTTGGAGTTGTCTCTATAATATGCTCATTTACTGTGGTAACCATTCCAAGGATCGAGGAGACTGCCAAAAATAGGGCGCAATAAATATACATAACCATGTGAGGTAGGAAAACCAACATAGCTAAACCAATTACTTATCTACATTATACGGCTCTCACGAAAACACTTACAAAGGGTAGTAAAACATTATTTTAAGAGAATTAGAAAACCCAATATGTGCAAAACTTTCACAAGATGAAAGCAGAAATATTAACTGCCAATTGTGCATTGCTTTCAAAGAAGATAAGAATGGAAGACTTATTTTGAAAAGAAACAATGTATTACGCTGAGTTTTATAAGCAGAAAGAAGAAGCTCAATGTTACCAAAATTTCAAATAAACCTGCTTCTGGCCCGATTTCTGATGCAGCAAACCGCTCTGGAAGAAGCCATGTCATTCCCTGGTCATACATTGGAAATTATTATTTATCAACATCTACTAGATTTTCATCAAATTGATGATTAAAGTGTGCTAATGAAAGTAATGGCAAACCTTATCAGTAAAAGTGAATGACAAAAACTACATGGTACATCATTGCATGAACCAAAAGTAAAAAACAAACAAATGTTTTAAAAAAGGAGACCAGGCAAATTTTGGTAATCTCTTCTTTATGTTCTGATCAGGCCACTATACTAAACAAAATGGTTAATGAAAAAGAGAGAGAGAATACATGTCCTTTTTTAATGATTGTCTTTATGCTAGAGTATATTTTTAGCAAAAGAGGGAAAAAATGTTTGCTTCATTTGTGTAAAAGTAAGATCTTTAAAAAGGATGGAGCAAAGATGGGACCCCCTATGTTTGCCATCACTCTGGCACTTCCTTCATATCACCTGTCATTGGTGAAGGTTTAGCAAGTGAAGTTATCAGTGAAAGGCATATAGCAGAAAGGTATCTCTGTCATGACTGGATCTCATCATAGGAGAGTAGTGCAGAAAAATGATACTCCCTCCATTTCAATTTGTTTTCCTGGTTTTTGCAAGCACGGAGTTTTAAGAAAGTAAAGGAACTTTTGAATTTTGTGGTCTTAAACAAAAGATATGTAGATTGTACCAAAATACCCTTTAATCTTGTGGTCTTAAACATGCCATGTGAGTGGTTAGAATAAAAGAGTTGCCAAAAAAAGGAAAGAGACCATTTTTTAAAAACTAACTAAAAAGGAAAGTAACACAAAGAAATTGAAACAAAAGGGAGTAATATTTTTCAATGCCGTAGCAAAAGATTGACATGTTGTGATCTATTTCTTCAGTTTGATAGACCAATAGTATAATTTACCAAAACTGATCTAATGCAACTCTAGGGGGGAAAGAATGTTCTGCTGCAATGGTAAGTCATCCGGAGTATCTTATACAATTTAAGACCTAATCTATGTTGGTTCAAGCTAAAAAAACCATTAAGCAAATAAGCATCAACAAGAATGGAAAAAACAACTTGTGCTGAATGATAAACATGTAAAACCTTAAGAGCATGCTGGAGATGAACTTTGGACTGCTTGGTTACTGTTTGTAAATCAGCGCCCAAGTAATTCTCCCCATATTGTCTTATATAAAAACAAATGTTATAAGACAAAGGCACCAGAATCCCTCTTTAATTAAAGATAAGATGCTCAATCTTATACCTATGATAAGTCTCCAAAATACATTATGGACAGCTCCTTGGGGCTGCTTTATTCTTTTTGAATAACATAACCTGGTTAAAACTATAAATAATTTCCCAAAAGGCCCGTCTTTCCTCTTTCAAATTCTACTTTTTGAGAAAATGATAAATCTTTTTTTTGGAAAAGGCAACATGGAATGATAATCTTTACAATCTTGACTTTTTCAATCCCAAACATAGGAATATATGCTTTTCATTTTCTCTTGATGATTGGCTCAACCAAGATAGAGGAGAGGAGAGGAGAGGTAGGGTAAAACATAAGAAGAAATTATACCAGCAGTAATATCAAAATTAACTTCAGGACAGAAATCATGTATAGACATCAGAGTTCCTTCAACTAACTAATCCCCAAGAAATATGCCTCACATGTTTGCAGGGTAACATTCCATAGCATCTTGCTAACAATCCATGGTTGTAACCAGTTTCATTTCTCGAGTTAAATTAGAAAAGCCTTCCAAGAGAAGTCTGAATGGAGATTGAAAACCAACCCTCTGTTACTGCCCGCTAACTATATCAAAATCTAGATGACGAAACAACCCGTTCTTCCATATTTAAATCCAAAAGAAACATACAACCCCAAAAGAAAAAGGAAGCATCCAACTTAATAAAGATATTTTGGCTCATTAAGAATATTCAAACTATGCCTCAATCCCCAACTAGTTGGGGTCTGCTATACATATCCACTATACCATTTCATTTGAGACATGCCATTCCAATAACAAACAATTGGTTCATCAATAATCATCTTAAATTAGGAGCCAGCTATGTAACTACTCATACACCACAAACAGTGCCAATCTGAAGCAGAATCAAGAATAGCTCTCTCTCTCTCTCTCACACACACACACACAATTGCCACTAACAAAACTAATATCAAGATTGCAAGTTGACAGAAGCCAAATAATTAACTCCATTAAAAACCAAGATGCAAGAAAACACTTGTTGTAAAAGGTACTTAAAAACAATAAATGCTAATAAGAAGGGGCATACACTGGCTAGAGAACTCAATTGGCGGACATAATCACGATTCCTTCGGACCCATCTCTTGTAAGCCTCCATAGAAGTGAAATTATGAATCTTTATTACAAAAACAGTGTCTTTAGAACAGCTCTCGATTGGCAGCAAAAGAAAACCTAAATATTGAAGCCTTTCGAGGATTCAGATCAAACCCAGATGGATAATACGCTGACGGAATTGCCCTTTCTGCTGAAATTTACAGCAAGTTGCAGTCTGCTCATGAAGGAGCCTGCAGAGAAAACCGTCTCGAACAGATGAAACAAGAACAGAAAGAGCGTTGTGGGTGATGAGAGGTGTCGTATTGTTCAGTTATAGTAACATTTTTTTTAATTTCCTCTTTCATTTCTTTGCATAATCCAGAAATAACTAATTTAATTTTTAAAAAATATTGAATCAAAGAAAGTTACTCAATCAGTCTCAATTTATGACATTTTTCATTTTTGAAAGTCAAACAGTTTTATTTGACCGGAAATTTACATTTGAAATATTCAATTTTTTTGAAATAAAATTTATATATTTATAAACTATGTAAAAAGTGTTATTAATTGATAATTCAAAATGTTTAAAAGATCTATGAAAAATTTACTGTCAAAAATAGATTTATTTGAATCTCAAAATTTGAAAAGTATCACATGAGAATGCACCCAAAAAATGTTTTCTTCTTATTTTTGCACAAGCACTATTATTTCCATTTTCAATTTCTAGTTTAATTTGTAATTAGTAATAACGGTATAATTCATGACAATATCTTTTAAATTTCACTGACCATTTGTATTGCAATCAAGAATATGGTAACTAAACAAATCAACAAGATTGATATAATATGGTTAGGGGTGTTCACGGGTTGGTTTGGATCGATTATTGGTCAAAACCAAAACCAAATCAACTTAATCGGTTTTAAAATTATCAAAATCAAACCAAACCAAATATAATATACATTTATCGGTTTGGTGATTATCGGTTTCGGTTTGGTTTGGTTTGGTTCGGTTATTAACCATACACAAAAATAAAAGAAACAATTCATTTAAAATGTGAAAAAAGTGACAACAATCCATTCAAAACGAAAAATAGTTAGAATGATTTAAATTATTAAACTTTCAATCACTAAATTTACTATCAATAAAGCTTTAAAATT